CTCAGTATTCCCAGGAGGCTCCCATAAATCCCACCGGGAATTTGGCGCTCTGGGCTGGCTCCAGGGCCCTGCTCCGAGTCCTCCTCCACACTCTGGGTGCTCCCACTGACCTTCAGCAGTCCCAGGTGGCTCCTGTTAATCCCACCGGGAACGCCGCTGTCCGAGTCCTCCTCTGCGTTCTCAGCGTTCCCGCTGACCCTCAGCATTCCCAGGTGACTCCCATAAATCCCACCGGGAATTTGGCGCTCTGGGCTGGCTCTGGGGCCCTGCTCCGAGTCCTCCTCCACATTCTCGGTGTTCCCACTGACCCTCAGCAGTCCAAGGTGGCTCCCGTTAATCCCACCGGGAACGCCGCTGTCTGAGTCCTCCTCCACATTCTCAACATTCCCGCTGTCCCTCAGCATTCCCAGGTGGCTCCCATGAATCCCACCGGGAATTTGGCACTCTGGTGTGGCTCTGGGGCCCTGCTCCAAGTCCTCCTCCACATTTTCAGCGTTCCCGTTGACCTTCAGCAGTCCCAGGTGGCTCCCGTTAATCCCACCGGGAATGCCACTGTCCGAGTCCTCCTCCGTGCTCTTGGTGTTCCCGCTGACCCTCAGCATTCTCAGGAGACTCCCATAAATCCCAGTGGGAATTTGGCACTCTGGGCTGGCTCTGGGGCCCTGTTCCAAGTCCTCCTCCACATTCTCGGTGTTCCCGCTGTCCCTCAGCATTCCCAGGAGACTCCCATAAATCCCGCTGGGAATGTCGCTCTCGGGGCCGGCGCCGTGGCCGCCGGTGCCCGTCCTGGCCGCTCCCCACCGGGGCTGCGGGGTGGCGGTGTCCGTGTCCATGGAATTCCCGCGGGGCTCTCCATCCTCAGATCTCCGGGGCGGGAGCGGGGCCCGGCGCCGAACCCTCGGCACGTTACCGTTCCCGGTGTCCATGTCCCGGGAATTCCCGCTGGGCTCTTCATCCTCAGATCTCCGGGGTGGGACCCAGGGCCGATCCATCCTCGGCACATTCCCGTTCCCATTCCCGGTGTCTGTGTCCCGGTTCTGGAAATTCCCGCTGGGCTCTCCATCTTTAGATTTCCCGGGTGGGAGCGGGGCCCGGCGCCGAGCCCTCGGCACGTTCCCGTTCCCGTTCCCGGTGTCTGTGTCCCAGCAATTCCCGCCGGCCCTCGGCACATTCCCGTTCCCGGTGTCCGTGTCCCGGCAATTCCCGTTCCGGGCTTGTCCCGCCTCGCCCCCGGAGTCCTTCCCGAGGCCTCGGACCCCGCCGGGCCCGTTCCCCGGTTCCAGCAGCTCCTGCCGGGCTCTGCCGTCCCGGCGCTTCCCCGGTTCCTTCCCGGCCTCTCCCGGTGTCCGGGGCTCCTTCCCCGGCTCCTTCCCGGCCTCTCCCGGTGTCCGGGGCTCCTTCCCCGGCTCCTTCCCGGCCTCTCCCGGTGTCCCGGGCTCCGTCCCGGCCTCTCCCGGTGCCCGCGGCTCCCCGGGAATGGTTCCCGGTGAATGTCCCGGGAAAGCTCCGCGGGCCCCGGGGCCGGGGGGACCCACCGGGCGCCTCCTCCTCCTCCTCAGGAACGGGAAGCAGGACATGGCCCCGGGCCGGCCGCACCGGGAACGGGGCACAGCGGGAACGGGAACGGGTGGCCCAGGAGCTCCGGCAGTCCCAAAAGTGTCCCGGGAATTCCGGCAGTCCCGGGATGACCCTGGTGTGTCCCGGGAATTTTCTCAGTCCCAAAAGTGTCCCCAAACCGTCCCGGGAGCTCCGACAGTCCCGGGAGTGTCCCACGGGTGTCCCGGGGCTGTCCCGGGAGTTTTCTCAGTCCCAAGAGGTCCCCGGGAATTCCAGCAGTCCCGGAGGTGTCCCGGGATGTCCCTGGCGTGTCCCGGGAATTTTCTCAGTCCCAAAAGTGTCCCAAAACTGTCCCGGGAATTCTGACAGTCCCAAAAGTGTCCCGGGAATTCCGACAGTCCCAAAAGTGTCCCGGGAGCTCCGGCAGTCCCGGGATGTCCCTGGCGTGTCCCGGGGCTGTCCCGGGAATTCCGGCAGTCCCAAAAGTGTCCCGGGATGTCCCGGGAATTTTCTCAGTCCCAAAAGTGTCCCGGGAGCTCCGGCAGTCCCGGGATGTCCCTGGCGTGTCCCGGGTGTGTCCCGGGAATTTTCTCAGTCCCAAGAGCGTCCCACGGGTGTCCCGGGGCTGTCCCGGGAATTCCGGCAGTCCCAAAAGTGTCCCGGGAATTCCGGCAGTCCCGGGAGTGTCCCACGGGTGTCCCGGGGCTGTCCCGGGAATTTTCTCAGTCCCAAAAGTGTCCCGGGAGCTCCGGCAGTCCCGGGATGTCCCTGGCGTGTCCCCGGTGTGTCCCGGGAGCTCCGGCAGTCCCGGGATGTCCCCGCGGTGTCCCAGGGGTGTCCCGGGAATTCCGGCAGTCCCAAGAGGTCCCCGGGATGTCCCAGGAGTGTCCCGGGAGCTCCGGCAGTCCCGGGATGTCCCCGCGGTGTCCCGGGAGCGGCGGCCCCGCGGTTCCGTGCCCGGGGGAGGAAGAGGAAGTTGGGGCCGAGGAGGAGGAGGAGGAGGAGGAGGAGGAGGAGGAGGAGGAAGGTTCGGGCTCTTTCCGGGGGCACCGGGGTCACGGCCCGGTCCCGGTGCCGCTCCGGTGATTCCCGGTCCCAGGGGATGTCCCGGTGATTCCCGGTCACTGTCCCGGTCCCAGGGAACGTCCCCGGTGCCGCTCCGGTGATTCCCGGTCCCAGAGGATGTCCCCGGTGATTCCCGGTCCCTGTCCCGGTCCCAGGGGATGTCCCGGTGCCGCTCCGGTGATTCCCGGTCCCAGGGGATGTCCCGGTGATTCCCGGTCACTGTCCCGGTCCCTGTCCCGGTGATTCCCGGTCACTGTCCCGGTCCCAGGGAATGTCCCGGTCCCTGTCCCGGTGCTGCTCCGGTGATTCCCGGTCACTGTCCCGGTGCCGCTCCGGTGATTCCCGGTCCCAGGGGATGTCCCGGTGATTCCCGGTCCCTGTCCCGGTCCAGGGAACGTCCCCGGTGCCGCCGGTGCTGCGGGAGCAGAGCCGGGAACACCCGGCCGGGCGTGTCCCGACATGTCGCGACATGTGCCCGCCTGGCCCGGGACGTGTCGTGACAAACCCCCCGCGGAGCGCGAACGGCGGCAACCGGCCCGGCCCGGCCCGGTACCGGGGTCCCCCACCGCATTCCCGGGGTCCCGCAGCCCCCCGAGGGTCCCGTACCCGCTCCGGGGTCCCGGTGCCGTTCCTATTCCCGGTCCCGGTTCCGGTCCCGTTCCCTTTCCCGATCCCGTTCCTGGTCCCGTTCCCGATCCCGGTCCCATTCCCGGTGCCGATCCCGGTCCCGTTCCCTTTCCCGGTCCCGTTCCCTTTCCCGATCCCGTTCCCGTTCCCGCTGCCGGGGGCGGTCCCGGTGCCGATCCCGGTCCCGTTCCTGGTCCCGTTCCCGATCCCGGTCCCATTCCCGGTGCCGATCCCGGTCCCATTCCCGGTGCTGATCCCGGTCCCGTTCCTGGTCCCGTTCCCGATCCCGGTCCCATTCCCGGTGCCGATCCCGGTCCCATTCCCGGTGCTGATCCCGGTCCCGTTCCCTTTCCCGGTCCCGTTACCGGTGCCGGGGGCGGTCCCGGTGCCGATCCCGTTCCCTTTCCCGATCCCGTTCCCGTTACCGCTGCCGGGGGCGGTCCCGATGCCGATCCCGGTCCCGTTCCCTTTCCCGGTGCTGATCCCGTCCCCGGTCCCGCTCCCGGTGCCTTTACCGTTCCTGATCCCGGTCCCAGTTCCCTTTCCCGGTCCCGTTCCTGTTCCCGATCCCGTTCCCGGTGCTGATCCCGGTCCCGTTCCCGGTCCCGTTACCGGTGCCGTTCCCGTTCCCGTTCCCGGTCCCGTTCCCGGTCCCGTTCCCTTTCCCGTGTCCCGGTTCCCGCCTGTTCCCGGTCCCGTTCCTGGTCCCGTTCCCGATCCCGGTGCCGTTCCCGTTCCCGTTCCCGTTCCGTGTCCCGTGTCCCGTTACCGTTCCCTTTCCCGTCCCGGTTACCGGTGCCGTTCCCGTTCCGTGTCCCGTTCCCGGTCCCTTTCCCGGTGCCGATCCCGTTACCGTTCCCGTTACTGGTCCCGTTCCGTGTCCCGTTCCCGTTCCGTGTCCCGATCCCGTCCCGTTCCCGTTCCCTTTCCCGATCCCGGTGCCGTTCCCGGTCCCGTTCCCGTTTCCCGCGTGTCGGGGGCGGTCCCGGTGCGGCCCCCGCCCCCCGCGCGCGGTCCCGGTTCCCGCCATTGTTCTCCGGGAATTTGGGGTTCCGGGGCTGTGCCTCAGTTTCCCAGGCCAGGTCATGCCTTAATTAATTAAGTAATTAGTTAATTAGCGACACCCTGCCCCCCGGGGCCGTGTCGGGAATTCATTAATTAATTAATTAACTAATATTTGTGACCCCCCCCCCCCGGGGCCGGGGCCGGAATGAATTAATAAATTAATAAATTAATAAATTAATAAATTAATAAATTAATAAATTAATAATTAAATTTATTAATATGTGCGAACACCCCCGCGGCCGAGTCGGGAAATAATCAATTAATTTATCCATTAATTTGCCCACACCCCCGACGGCCCCCCCCCCCCCCGCCACCTCCCGGGCCGGCTCGGGAATTAATTAATTTATTCACTAATTATTTTTTGCGAGCCCACCCGGGGCAGTTCCGGGAATTAATTAATTACTTAATTAATGACTTTATTAATTAATATGCGAACCCCCCCGTGCCCGTGTCGGGAGTTCCCGGGGCAGTTCCGGGATTGAGCAATCAATGAGTTCATTAATTCGTGCCTTAATTAATTAGCGGGGAACGGGGCCGTGGGCGGAGCCTGGGTAGTAGGCGGGGCTTAACGGGAAATGGGCGTGGATTTGAGCAGTGGGCGGAGCCTGGCTAGAGGGCGGGGCCTTGGCGGGAAAGGGGCGTGGCTATGGTTTGTGGGCGTGCCCAGTACAGGGGCGGGGCTATGGGCGTGGCGTTGCCGGGAAAGGGGCGTGGTCTGCTCAGGGGGCGTGGCCGGGGCCGTTCCAGAAAGCTCCGGGATCGGGAGCGGCTCCGGGACCGGGACCGGGACCGGGATCGGGAACCGGACCGAGGGTACGGAGGGAACCCCCAACCCCAAATCCCGAATCCCCGAACCCCCAAATCCCCGAACCCCAAATCCCCGAACCCCAAATCCCCGAATCCCGAATTCCCGGTCCCTGAATCCCAAATCCCCGAATTCCCGAACCCCAAACCCCCAAATCCCCGAATTCCCGAACCCCGAATCCCAAATCCCCCGAAATCCCGGTCCCTGAATCCCAAGTCCCTGAATCCCCGAACCCTCGAATCCCCGAGTTCCCAAATCCCCGAACCCCGAACCCCAAATCCCTAAATCCCCAAATCCCCATAATCCCAAATCCCCGAATCCCCGAACCCCGAATTCCCGAACCCCCAAATCCCTGAATCCCCGAACCCCCAAATCCCCGAATTCCCAAATCCCTGAATCCCCGAACCCCCGAACCTCCAAATCCCGAATCCCCGAACCCCGAATTCCCGAATCCCGAATTCCCGGTCCCTGAATCCCAAATCCCCGAACCCCCGAACTCCAAATCCCCGAATCCCGAATCCCCGAACCCCCAAGTCCCCGAATTCCCGAACCCCCAAATCCCTGAATCCCCGAACCTCCAAATCCCTGAACCCCGAATTCCCGAACCCCGAATCCCCGAACCTCGAACGCCTGAATCCCCGAATTCCCGAATCCCGAATTCCCGGTCCCTGAATCCCAAATCCACGAATCCCTGAATCCCCGAACCCCGAATTCCCGAACCCCAAACCCCCAAATCCCCGAATTCCCAAATCCCCGAATCCCCGAATCCCCGAACCCCCAAATCCCAAATCCCCGAATTCCCGGTCCCTGAATCCCAAATCCCCGAATTCCCGACCCCGAATTCCCAGTCCCTTAATCCCTGAACTCCTGAATCCCCGAACCCCAAATCCCCAAACCCCCAAATCCCAAATTCCCAAACCCCCAAACCTCCAAATTCCAAAATCCCAAACCCCCAAATTCCCAAATACCAAATCCCAAAATCCCCAAATCCCCGAACCCCCAAATCCCCAAGTCCCAAACCCCCAAACCCCCAAATCCCAAATCCCCGAACCCCCAAATCCCCAAACCCCCAAATTCCCAACTCCCCAAATCCCAAATTCCCAAATCCCAAATCCCCAAACCCCCAAATCCCAAATTCCCAAACCCCCAAACCCCCAAATCCCCAAATCCCAAACCCCAAACCCCAAATTCCCAAATCCCAAATCCCCAAATCCCAAACCCCCAAATCCCAAACCCCAAACCCCAAATCCCAAATCCCAAATTCCCAAATCCCAAACCCCAAAAATCCCAAACCCCAAAAATCCCAAACCCCAAACCCCCAAACCCCAAATCCCAAATCCCAAATCCCCATTTCCCCCTTTTCCCCTTTTCTCCCCCATTTTTGGGGTCCCGGGCGATTTTGGGGTTTTTTTTGGTTTTTTTGTTTTTTTGGGTTTTTTGTTGGGTGGGGGAGGGGATGGAGCGGGAATTTCCCACAATTCCCTGCGCGGGGCAGGAGCGGGGCCGGGATTTGGGATTTTTGGGGATTTTTTGGGATTTTTTTGGGATTTAAGATTGGGGGGGTTATTTAGGATTTGGGGGAAAATATTTGGGATACGTGAGGTTATTTGGGATTATTTGGGATTTTGGGTTATTTGGGATTTTGGGTTATTTGGAATTTGGGATGGGTTATTTGGGATTTTGGGATGGGTTATTTGGGATTATTTGGGATTTGGGATTATTTGGGATTATTTGGGATGGGTTATTCGGGTTTATTCCTGTTTATTTTGATTTTATTTGGATTTTATTTGGGGTTAATTTGGGTTTATTTTGGTTTATTTCTGTTTTATTTCTGTTTTTTTTTTTATTTATTTCCTTTTTGGGGTTTTATTTGGCCTCATTTTGGTTTTATTTGGGGTTTTTGGGTTTACTTCCCTTATTTGGTTTGTTTTTCTTGTTTTATTTGGGTTTATTTTTGGTTTATTGTGTTTTATTTGGGTTTATTTGGGTTTTATTGTGGTTTTTTTGGGTGAATTTTGTTTTATGTTGTTTTATTTGGGTTTATTTCAGTTCCTTTCCGTTTCTTTCCATTGTTTTGGGTTTTGTTGTGTTTTATTTGGGTTTATTTGGATTTTATTTTGTTTTATTTGGGTTTTATTGTGGTTTTTTGGGTTTATTTGGGTTTGTTGTGTTTTATTTGGGTTTTATTGTGTTTTATTGTGTTTTGTTGTGTTTTATTGTGTTTTATTTTGTTTTATTTGGGTTTATTTGGGTTTCATTGTGTTTTATTTGAGTTTATTTTGTTTTATTTGGGTTTATTTCAGTTTCTTTCCGTTGTTTTGACTTTATTTGGGTTTTATTTTGATTTATTTGGGTTTTAGTTTGATTTATTTGGGTTTATTTCCGTTCATTTCCGTTGTTTGGGTTTCGGATTTTTCAGAATTTCACAATCCCGAGCGGGCGGGGGAGGGGCGGGGCCGCTCCTTTTTTGGGGTTTTTTTGGGGGGGGGCGCTCATTTTTTGGGGTTTTTTGGGTCTTTTTGGGGGGGGCCGCTCCTTTTTTGGGGTTTTTTGGGGTTTTTGGGTCTTTTTGGGGGGGCCGCTCCTTTTTTGGGTTTTTTTTTGGGGGGGCCGCTCATTTTTTGGGGGTTTTTGGGTCTTTTTCGGGGGGGCCGCTCCTTTTTTGGGGTTTTTTTGGGGTTTTGGGGGTTTTTCTGAGGGGCGTCGCTCCATTTTGGGGTTTTTTTGGGGTTTTTTTTTTGGGGGGCGCTCCTTTTTTGGGTTTTTTTGGGGTTTTTTTTGGGGGGGCGCTCCAATTTTTGGGTTTTTTTGGGGGTTTTTGGGTCTTTTTGGGGGTGCTACTTCTTTTTTGGGTTTTTTTGGTGGGCCGCTCCTTTTTTGGGTTTTTTTTGGGGGGGCCGCTCCAATTTTTGGGTTTTTTTTGGGGGCGGGCCGCTCCTTTTTTGGGCTTTTTTGGGGGGGGCCGCTCCTCTTTTGGGTTTTTTTGGGGTTTTTTTGCGGGGCCGCTCCTTTTTTGGGGTTTTTTTTTGGTTTTTTTGGGGGGGGGCGCTCCTTCTTTGGGTTTTTTGGGGGGGGGCGCTCCAATTTTTGGGTTTTTTTGGGGGGATTTAGGGGGGGGGCGCTCCTTTTTTTGGGGTCTTTTTGTGGTTTTTTTTGGAGGGGGCGCTCCTTTTTTTTCGGGGGGGCACGGCCGGACCCCCCCCCAGTGCCCCCCAAAACCTCCCAGGCCCCCCAAATCCCCTCAAATCCCCCCAAAATCCCCCCCAAACACCCCCAAACACCCCCAAATCCCTCCTGTCCCCTCCTGTCTCCCCAAATCCCCTCCTGTCCCCCCTGTCCCCCCCCAAATCCCCCAAAATCCCCCCAAATTCCCCCAAATCCCCCCCTGTACCACCCAAAATCCCCCCCAAATCCCTCTGAACCTCCCCAAATCTCCTCAAATTCCCCCAGTTCCCCCCAAATCCTCCCCAAATCCTCCCCAAATCCCCCAAAACCCCCAAAACCCCCTGTCCCCCCAGATCCCTCCTGTCCCCTCCTGTCCCTGTCCCCAGGCCATGTCCCCGATGTCCCCACTGTCCCTGTCCCGGTCCCTGATGTCCCCAATGTCCCTCTCTGTGTCCCCAGGCCATGTCCCCAATGTCCCCACTGATGTCCCTGATGTCGCTGTCACTGTCGCTGTCGCTGTCCCTGATGTCCCCAATGTCTCTCTCTCTCTGTCCCCAGGCCATGTTCCCAATGTCCCCACTGATGTCCCCGCTGTCGCTGGCGCTATCGCTGATGTCTCTCTCTGTCCCCAGGCCATGTCCCCGCTGATGTCCCCGCTGTCCCTGTCCCTGTCCCTGCTGGCCCTCGTGGCCTGGGGGGGGTCTCGGGCGCTGCTGCCCCCCGGGGAGCTCCGAGGTGAGGGGGGGGAGGGGAAATTTGGGGGGCTGGGGGGGGGAGGGGCAGGGGGGCTGATTTTGGGGGGTTGGGGACAACGGGGGGGTCATGGGTTCAATTTGGGGTCACGGGTTTAATTTGGGGGGTCACAGGGGCTCATTTTGGGGTCACGGGAGCTCATTTTGGGAGTTTGGGGTCACAGGGTCTCATTTTTGGGGGGGTTTGGGGTCATGGGGTTTAATTTTGGGGAGTTTGGGGTCACGGGGGCTCATTTTGGGGGTTTGGGGTCACAGGGTTTCATTTTGGGGTCATGGGGGCTCATTTTGGGGGTTTGGGGTCACGTGGGCTCATTTTGGGAGTTTGGGGTCATGGAGTCTCATTTTGGGGTCACGGGGTCTCATTTTGGGGGTTTTGGGGTCATGGGGGCCCATTTTGGGGTCACAGGGGCTCATTTTGGGGGGTTTGGGGTCACTGGGGCTCATTTTGGGGTCACGGGAGCTCATTTTGGGGGGTTTGGGGTCACAGGGTTTAATTTTGGGGTCACGGGGGCTCATTTTGGGAGTTTGGGGTCACGGGGTCTCATTTTTGCGGGGGTTTGGGGTCACGGGGTCTCATTTTGGGGTCACGGGGGCTCATTTTGTGGGAGTTTGGGTTCCCGGGGTCCCATTTTGGGGGGTTTGGGGTCACGGGGGGTCCATGGGTTTTTATTTTGGGGGGTCGCCCTCCCAGGGGATGCCACAGGATTTAATTTTGGGGGGGTGGGGTCACGGGGGCTTTTTGCCTTCATTTCCCCCATTTCTCCCAATTTTCCTCCACTTTCCCCCCATTTTTCCCCAAATTTTTCCCTCAATTTTTCCCCCACTCTTCCCCAACTTTTCCCCAACTTTCCCCCCACTTTCCCCCCACTTTTCCCAACCTTTCCCCCACCTTTCCCCCAATTTTTCCCCCGATTTTCCCCCCGATTTTCCCCCCACTCTTCCCCCACTTTCCCCCCACTTTTCCCCATCTTTCCCCCCACTTTTCCCCCACCTTTCCCCAATTTTTCCCCCATTTCCCCCCCAATTTTTCCCCCACTCTTCCCCCATTCTTCCCCCACTTTCCCCCCACTTTTTTCCCAACTTTTCCCCTAATCTTCCCCCCACTTTTCCCCACTTTCCCCCCACTTTTTCCCCAATTCTCTCCCAATTTTCCCCACATCTTTTCCGCAATTTTCCCCCCACTTCCCCCCACTTTCCCCCCACTTTCCCCCCACTTTTCCCCAACTTTTCCCCAAATTTCCCCCCACTTTTCCCCCATTTTCCCCCCAATTTTCCCCCCAATTTTCCCCCCACTCTTCCCCAACTTTTCCCCAAATTTCCCCCCAACTTTTCCCAAACTTTTCTCCAAATTTCCCCCCACTTTCCCCCCACTTTCCCCCCACTTTTCCCCAACTTTTCCCCAAATTTCCCCCCACTTTTCCCCATTTTCCCGACTTTTTTCCCAACTTTTCCCCTAATTTTCCCTCCACTTTCCCTCCACTTTCCCTCCACTTTTCCCCAAATTTCCCCAAATTTCCCCCCACTTTTCCCAACCTTCCCCTCACCTTTCCCCCAATTTTCCCCCGATTTTCCCCCTACTTTCCCCCCACTCTTCCCCCACTTTTTCCCCCACTTTTCCCCAACTTTTTTCCCAACTTTTCCCCTAATTACCCCCCCACTTTCCCCCCACTTTTTCCCCAATTCTCTCCCAATTTTCCCCACATCTTTTCCGCAATTTTCCCCCCACTTTCCCCCACTTTCCCCCCACTTTTCCCCAACTTTTCCCCAACGTTTCCCCAAATCTCCCCCCACTTCCCCCCACTTTTCCCCCCACTTTTTTCCCAACTTTTCCCCCACTTTTCCTCAACTTTTCCCCAACTTTTCCCCAAATTTCCCCCCACTTTTCCCAACCTTTCCCCCACTTTCCCCACACTTTTCCCAACCCTTCCCCCACCTTTCCCCCAATTTTTCCCCCCATTTGCCCCCCAATTTTTCCCCCACTCTTCCCTCATTGTTCCCTCATTGTTCCCTCACTTTTCCCCCACTTTTTTCCCAACCTTTCCCCCCACTTTTCCCCAAATTTCCCCCAACTTTTCCCCAAATTTCCCCCCACCTTTCCCCCATTTTCCTCCAATTTTCTCCCAATTTTCCCCCCACTTTTACCCCCACCTTCCCACCACTTTCCCCCCACACTTTTCCCCCACTTTCCCCCCACTTTCCCCCCACTTTTCCCCCATTTTCCCCCCACTTTCCCCCCAACTTTTCCCCACTTTCCCCCCACTTTTCACCTACTTTTTTCCCACTTTTCTCTGACTTTTTCCCCAATTCTCTTCCAATTTTCCCCCACTTCCCCTGATTTCCCCCCCAATTTTTCCCCCACTCTTCCCCCACTTTTCCTCCCCTTTTCCCCCACTTTTTTCCCAACTTTTCCCCTAATTTTCCCCCCACTCTTCCTCCATTCTTCCTCCCCTTTTCCCCCACTTTTTTCCCAACTTTTCCCCCACTTTTCCCCCACATTTTCCCCATTTTTTTCCCACTTTCCCCCCACTTTTTCCCCATTTCTCTCCCAATTTTCCCTGTTTTCCCCACATCTTTTCCCCAATTTTCCCCCCACTTTTTCCGCCAATTCCCCGAATTCCCCCCAAATTCCCCCCAAATCCCCCCGAATTCCCCCCTGCCCACACCCCTGGCAGCGCTGTCGGCGGCGGGCAGCCGCTGGGTGGACGCGGAGCTGCAGCGGGCGCTGCAGGGAATGCACAGGATGCAGGAGCTGCTGCAGCGCAGCGACCGCGACCACCGGGAGCTGCAGCGATCCCTGCAGCGGGCGCAGCGCGGCAAGGAGGTAGGAATGGGAACGGGAATGGGAATGGGGTTGGGATGGGATTGGGATTGGGATTGGGATTGGGATTGGGATTGGGATTGGGAATGAGAATGGGAATGGGAATGGGATTGGGATGGGTTGGGACTGGGAATGGGACTGGGAATGAGACTGGGAATGGGATGGAAATGGGATGGGATGGGATGGGATGGGGATGGGGATGGGAATGGGAATGGGAATGGGAATGGGAATGGGAATGGGAATGGGGATGGGAATGGGAATGGGAATGGGAATGGGAATGGGGATGGGAATGGGATGGGGATGGGTCGGGAATGGAATTGGGATGGGATTGGGGTTGGGATTGGGGTTGGGGTTGGGATTGGGATTGGGATTGGGATTGGGATGGGGATGGGGATGGGGATGGGGAATGGGATGGGGAATGGGATGGGATTGGAATGGGAATGGAATTGGGATGGGATTGGGATGGGGATTGGGGTTGGGAATGGGATTAGGATTTGGATTGGGATTGGGATTATGATTGGGATTGGGAACGGGAATGGGATCAGGAGTGGGATTGGGAACAGGATCAGGAATGGGGATGGGAACGGGAATGGGATCGGGATTGGGATTGGGAACAGGAACAGGAATGGGATGGGACTGGGATGTGGATGGGAACGGGAATGGGATGGAGACAGGAATGGGATGGGGTCGGGATGGGATCAAGATGGGATTGGGATGGATTGGGAATGGGAATGGGAATGGGAATGGGAATGAGATAGGGTGGGAATGGGATGGGGATGGTTCGGGAATGGGAATGGGAATGGGATGGGGATGGGAATGGGGATGGGAATGGGATGGGAATGGGATGGGAATGGGAATGGGGTGGGATGGGGATGGGTCAGGAATGGGATCGGAATGGGAATGGGAATGGGGTGAGCTGGAATGGGAGATGCCATCCCAGGAATGGGGGATGCTGTCCCGGAAATGGTTTGTCCTGGATCCTGGAATGTTCCGAGAGTCTGGGAATTCTGTGCCAGGGACTGAGTGTTCCGGGAACAGGGATTAGGGAATGCTGTGCCAGGGACAGGGAATGCTGTGCCAGGAAGAAGAAACGCTGTGCCAGGGATTAGGGAATGCTGTGCCAGGGACAGGGAGTGCTGTGCCAGGGACAGGGAATGATGTGCCAGGGAACAGGGAATGCTGTGCCAGGAAGAAGAAACGCTGTGCCAGGAACAGGGAACGCTGTGCCAGGGATTGGAGTGTTCTGGGAACAGGGAATGCTGTGCCAGGGAACAGGGAATGCTGTGCCAGGGACAGGGAATGCTGTGCCAGGGAACAGGGAATGCTGTGCCAGGGGTTGGATGTCCCGGGAGCAGGGATTGTTATCCTGGAGATCGCTGTGGGAATTGGACTCCGGGAATGCCGTGTGGGATTTGGGCTCCGGGAATGCCGTGTGGGAATTGGGATATCCTGGGAATCTGGGAACGCCGTGTGGGAATTGGGGTGTCCCAGGGCTCTGGGAATGCCGTGTGGGAATTGGGCTCTGGGAATGCCGTGTGGGATTTGGGGTGTCCTGGGAATCTGGGAATGCCGTGTGGGAATTGTGCTCCAGGAATGCCGTGTGGGAATTGGGGTATCCTGGGAATCTGGGAATGCCGTGTGGGATTTGGACTCCGGGAATGCCGTGTGGGAATTGGGGTGTCATGGGAATCTGGGAATGCCGTGTGGGAATTGGGATGTGCTGGGGCTCCGGGAATGCTGTGTGGGATTTGGGGTATCCCGGGAATGCCGTGTGGGAATTGGGCTCCGGGAACGCCGTGTGGGAATTGGGGTGTCCCAGAACTCCGGGAATGCTGTGTGGGAATTGGGCTCTGGGAATGCCGTGTGGGAATTGGGCTCCGGGAATGCCGTGTGGGATATGGTTCCGTGTGGGAATTGGGGTGTCCCGGGAATCCGGGAATGCCGCTCGGGTCTGGGCTGCTCCGGGGCTCGGCGGGCGGCTCCAGGGCGGCATTCCCCGCAGGAAGCGCTGCAGCTGGCGCTGCAGAAGGAGCAGGAGCTGTCGGCGCAGGGCGAGCGCTGCAACGCGTCGGTGCAGGAGCTGTGGCAGCGCTGCAAGCCGTGCCTGCGGCAGCGCTGCGTGCGCCTCTACGCCCGCACCTGCCGCAGCGGCGCCGGGCCGCTCGGGCGCCAGGTGAGAGGGGAAAAAGGGTGGGAAATAATGGGGAAACGGTGGGGAAACAATGGGGAAATGGTGGGGAAATAGCGGGGAAATAATGGGGAAAGTATGGAGAAATAATTGGGAAATAGTGGGGAAATAATGGGGAAATAGCGGGGAAATAATGGGGAAATAACAGGGAAATAATGGGGAAATAATGGGGAATAGCGGGGAAATAATGTGGGAATAACAGGGAAATAATGGGGAAATAACGGGGAAATAATGGGGAAATAATGGAGAAGTAGCAGGGAAATAATGGGGAAATAGAGGGGAAATAGTGGGGAAATAATGGGGAAATAGCGAGGAAATAATGGGGAAAAATATGGAAATAATGGGAAAATAATGGGGAAATAATGGGGGAATAATGGGGAAATAATGGGGAAACAGCGGGGGAATAATGGGGAAATAATGGGGAAATGATGGGAAATAGTGGGGAAATAATGGGGAAATAGTGGGGAAATAATGAGGAAATAATGGGGAAATAGCGGGGAAATAATGGGGAAATAATGGGGAAATGATGGGAAATAGTGGGGAAATAATAGGGAAATAATTGGGGGAATAATGGGGAAATAGTGGGGAAATAATGGGGAAATAGTGGGGAAATAATGGGGGAATAATGGGAAATAATGGGAAGATAGCGGGGAGATAATGGGGAAATAATGGGGAAGTAATGGGGAAAAATACGGAAATAACAGGGAAATAATGGGGAAATAATGGGGAAATAGGGAAATAATGGGGAAATAATGGGGAAACAGGAAACAGCGGGGAAACAGATGGGAAATACTGGGGAAGTAGTGGGGAAACAGCGGGGAAATAATGGGCAAATAATGAGGAAAGAGCTGGGAAATAGCGGGGAAAGTATGGGGAAATAGCGAGGAAATAATGGGGAAAAATATGGAAATAATGAGGAAATAATGGGGAAATAATGGAGAAAAAAACAGAAATTATGTGGAAATAATGGGGAAATAATGGGGAAATAACAGGGAAATAATGAGGAAATAATGGGGAAATAATGGGGAAATAGTGGGGAAACAGCAGGGAAATAATGGGGAAATAATTGGGAAATAGTGGGGAAGTAATAGAGAAATAATGGGGGAATAATGGGGAAATAGTGGGGAAATAATGGGGAAACAGCAGGGAAATAATGGGGAAATAATGGGGAAATGATGGGAAATAGTGGGGAAATAATAGGGAAATAATGGGGGAATAATGAGGAAAGAGCTGGGAAACAGCAGGGAAATAATGGGGAAATAATGGGGAAACATCAGGAAATAGGGAAAAAACACAGGAAGCGGAGAAACAATGGGGAAACAATGGGGAAACAATGGGGAAATAATGGGGAAACAGCAGGAAACAATGGTGAAACAACAGGGAAATAAAGGGAAAAACTGGGGAAACACCGGGAAAAAGACGGGGGGGGGGGGCTGGAGATGATCCCGATCCCATTCCCGTTAGCCAGAGGGTCAGTGGCTCAGGGACACCGGGATCCGGGAAAAGGGGATTTGGGATGATCCCATTCCCATATTTGAGATGATCCCATTCCCACATTTGGGGTGATCCCGTTCCCACATTTGGGATGATCCCATTCCCACATTTGGGTGATCCCATTCCACATTTGGGATGATCCCATTCCCACATTTGGGTGATCCCATTCCACATTTGGGATGATCCCATTCCCACATTTGGGTGATCCCATTCCACATTTGGGATGATCCCGTTCCCACATTTGGGTGATCCCGTTCCCGTTGGTGACTCCAGGCAGGTGAGGGGCACCGGGATCCCGGGAAAAGTGGGAATTGAGCCTCACCCCGTTCCCATTCCCTGGGACACCGGGAATGGCGGATTCCGCCCTGATCCCGTTCCCAGAGCTTTGGCAGCTGAGGGATCCCACCGGGATCCCGGGAAAGGGGAGATTTTGCCCTGACCCCGTTCCCAGAGGATCTTCAGGTCTGGGATCCCGGGAATGTCCAGGTTCCGATCCCATTCCCAGAGGATCTCCAGGTCTAGGATCCCACATGGCACCGGGATCCAGGGAATGTCCAGGTTCTGATCCCATTCCCAGAAGATCTCAGGTGCGGGATCCCGGGAATGTCCAGGTTCTGATCCCGTTCCCAGAGGATCTCCAAGTGCAGGATCCCGGGAATGTCCGGGTTCTGATCCCATTCCCAGAGGATCTCCAGGTCTAGGAACCCCCATGGCACCGGGATCCCGGGAATGTCCAGGTTCTGATCCCATTCCCAGAAGATCTCAGGGGCGGGATCCCAGGAATATCCAGGTTCTGATCCCATTCCTAGAGGATCTCAGGGCAGAATCCCGGGAATGTCCAGGTTCTGATCCCAGAAGATCTCAGGTGTGGGATCCCAGGGATCCCAGGTTCTGATCCCATTCCCAGAGGGTTTCAGGGGCAGGATCCCGGGAATGTCCAAGTTCTGATCCCATTCCCAGAAGATCTAAGGGGCAGAATCTCAGGGATCCCAGGTTCTGATCCCATTCCCAGAAGATCTCCAGGTCTAGGATCCTGGGAATGTCCAGGTTCTTATCCCATTCCCAGAGGATCTCAGGGGCAGGATCCCGGGAATGGCACACCCCAGGGATCCCAGGTTCTGATCCCATTCCCAGCGGATCTCAGGGGCAGGATCCCGGGAATATCCAGGTTCTGATCCCGTGCCCCGTTCCCAGCTGGAGGAGTTCCTGAACCGCTCGTCGCCGCTGTCGGTGTGGCTGGACGGGGAGCGCCTGGAGCGGCTGCGGGAGCGCGACGAGCTCCTGGAGCGGCGGCGGCAGGACCTGGAGCGGCGATTCGGGATCCTGGAGGACGGAGTCCAGGAGCTCTTCCCGGACAGCTCCGGGTTCCAGGCCCGCTTCCAGCCCCGCTTCCTGCCCCGCTTCCAGCCCCGCTTCCCGCGGCGCTTCCGGCGCTTCTCCGGCGCCTTCTTCCCGCTCTTCCAGGCGCCGCACAGCGGCTTCCAGCAGCTCTTCCAGCCGCTCTTCCCGATCCTGGAGGATCCCCAGGGCGCCTGGGAGAGCCCCTGGGATGAGCTCGGCACAGGTGGGAGAACGGGAATGGGGCCAAGGGTGGGGATCCCAAATTTCCGTGGGATTTGGGATGAGATTCTTGAAAATCGTATGGATTTCCGAGGGTGAGCTCGGTCCTAAAGGGAATTCCCGTGGAAAGGTGGGAATCACGAGTTCCACTGGGATTTGGGGTGTTGGCCCGCCTCGATCCCAGCTGCCGTCACGGGAATGGCGGTTTGTTGGGAATTCTGCGGCTGTTTGGGTTTTCTGGGAATGCTGTTGGTGCTTTTTTTGGGAATGTTAGAGGTTTTTGGGTTTTCCTGGGAATGCTGTTGATGGTTTTGTTGGGAATTCTGCGGCTGTTTGGGTTTTCTGGGAATGCTGACGATGGTTTTGTTGGGAATGCTGCTGGTGTTTCCATTTTCTGGGAATGCTGTTGGTGTTTTTGTTGGGAATGCTGCTGGTGTTTCCATTTTCTGGGAATGCTGTTGATGGTTTTGTTGGGAATGTCGAAGGTTTTTCGGTTTTCTGGGAATGCTGTAAATGGTTTTGCTGGGAATGCTGTTGATGGTTTTGTTGGGAATTCTGCGGCTGTTTGGGTTTTCTGGGAATGCTGCTGGTGCTTTTTTTGGGAATATTAGAGGTTTTTGGGTTTTCCTGGGAATGCTGTTGATGGTTTTGTTGGGAACGCTGCAGGTGTTTGGGTTTTCTGGGAATGCTGACAATGATTTTGTTGGGAATGTTGTGACTGTTTGGTTTTTCTGGGAATGCTGTTGATTCTTTTGTTGGGAATTCTGCAGCTGTTTGGGTTTTCTTGGATTGCTGCCGGTGTTTTTGTTGGGAATATTGGAGGTTTTGGGGTTTTTCTGGGAATGCTGATGATGGTTTTGTTGGGAATGTTGCAGGCGTTTGGGTTTTCTGGGATTGCTGCCGGTGTTTTTGTTGGGAATATTGGAGGTTTTGGGGTTTTTCCGGGAATGCTGCTGATGGTTTTGTTGGGAATGTTGTGACTGTTTGGTTTTTCTGGGAATGCTGCTGATGGTTTTGTTGGGAATTCTGCGGCTGTTTGGGTTTTCTGGGAATGTTGATGATGGTTTTGTTGGGAATGTTGAAGGCGTTTGGTTTTTCTGGGAATGCTGCCGGTGGTTTTGTGGGTAATATTTGAGGTTTTGGGGTTTTCCCGGGAATGCTGTTGATGGTTTTGTTGGGAATTCTGCGGCTGTTTGGATTTTCTGGGAATTCTGATGATGGTTTTGTTGGGAATTCTGCGGCGGTTTGGGTTTTCTGGGAACACTGACAATGGTTTTGTTGGGAATGCTGATGATGGTTTTGTTGGGAATTCTGCGGCTGTTTGGTTTTTCTGGGAATGCTGTTCATGGTTTTGTTGGGAATTCTGTGTCTGTTTGGTTTTTCTGGGAATGCTGATGATGGTTTTGTTGGGAATGTTGTGACTGGTTTTTCTGGGAATGCTTTTGGTGGTTTTGTTGGGAATTCTGCAGCTGTTTGGATTTTCTGGGAATGCTGTTGATGATTTTGTTGGGAATTCTGTGTCTGTTTGGGTTTTCTGGGAATGGTGATGATGGTTTTGTTGGGAATTCTGCAGCTGTTTGGGTTTTCTGGGAATGCTGATGATGCTTTTGTTGGGAGTGTTGTGACTGTTTGGTTTTTCTGGGAATGCTTTTGGTGGTTTTGTTGGGAATGCTGTTGATGGTTTTTCTGGGAATGCTGATGATGCTTTTGTTGGGAATTCTGCGGCTGTTTGGGTTTTCTGGGAATGCTGTTGATGGTTTTGTTGGGAATTCTGCGGCTGTTTGGGTTTTCTGGGAATGCTGATGATGCTTTTGTTTGGAATTTTGCGGCTGTTTCCGTTTTCTGGGAATGCTGCTGGTGCTTTTTTTGGGAATATTAGAGGTTTTTGGGTTTTCCTGGGAATGCTGTTGATGGTTTTGTTGGGAATGCTGTTGATGGTTTTGTTGGGAATTCTGCGGCTGTTTGGGTTTTCTGGGAATGCTGCTGGTGCTTTTTTTGGGAATATTAGAGGTTTTTGGGTTTTCTGGGAATGCTTTTGGTGGTTTTGTTGGGAATTCTGTGGCTGTTTGGGTTTTCTGGGAATGCTTTTGGTGGTTTTGTTGGGAATTCTGCAGCTGTTTGGGTTTTCTGGGAATGCTGTTGATGCTTTTGTTGGGAATGCTGCTGGTGTTTCCATTTTCTGGGAATGCTGATGATGGTTTTGTTGGGAATGCTGCAGGTGTTTGGATTTTCTGGGAATGTTGCAGGTGTTTTTTTTTTGTAAGGAACATTGCAGGTGGGTTTTTTTGGGAATATTGCAGGTGGTATTTTTTTGTAGGGAATGTTGCAGGTGTTTTTTTTCAGGAATATTGCAGGTGGTATTTTTTTTTAGGGAATATTGCAGGTGGGTTTTTTTGGGAATATTGCAGGTGGTTTATTTGGGATTGCTGCCGATGTTTTTTTGCCATTTGTATTTTTTGGGATTGCTGCCGATGTTTTTTTGGTGTTTGTTTTTTTTGGGATTGCTGCCGATGGTTTTTTTGCCGTTTGTGTGTTTTTTGGGATGGGTACCGCTGTTTTTTGGGCGTTTGCTTTTTTCTGGGATTTCAGCCGATGTTTTTTTGGGAATGCCGCAGCCGGCGCCGTCACCGTCTGCCAACGCAGCCCTGGCGCCGGGAGGGGCCCAAATCCAAGGGAAAATCGCCCAAATTCCAAGGAAAAAATGATTTTTTGGCACCTGGGGGGAGCTGCCGGGGCTGGGGGGGTCCGGGGAGCTGAGGCCGGCCGGAATTCCCGCAGAATCCCGGAATTTCAGCAACGACAGGATGGTTTGCCGGGAGATCCGGCGGAACTCGGCCGGCTGCCTGCGGATGCGGGATGAGTGCGAGCAGTGCCGGGAGATCCTGGCCCTGGGTGAGCCGGGAATGACAGCGGGAATAACAACGGGAATAACGGGAATGACGGGAATGACGGGAATAACAGCGGGAATAACAACGGGAATAACGGGAGTAACGGGAATAACGGGAATAACGGGAGTAACGGGATTAACGGGAATAACGGGAATGACGGGAATAATGGGAATAACGGGAATAATGGGAAATGGGAACGGGGATGGGAATGGGAATGGGAATGGGAATGGGAATGGGAATGGGAATGGGGATGGGAATGGGAATGGGAATGAGAATGGGAATGGGAATGGGAATGGGAATGGGAATGGGAATGGGAATGGGAATGGGAATGAGAATGGGAATGGGAATGGGAAATGGGGAATGGGAATGGGGATGGAGATGGGGACAGGAATGGGAAATGGGGAATGGGAATGGGGATGGAGATGGGGACAGGAATGGGGAATGGGGATGGGAAATGGGAATGGGAATGGGGATGGGGATGGGGATGGGGAATGGGAACAGGAACGGGAAATGGGGAATAGGGATGGGGATGGGGAATGGGATGGGAATGGGGATGGGGACGGGAATGGGAATGGGGAATGGGGATGGGAATGGGGATGGGAATGGGGATGGGAATGGGAATGGGGATGGGAATGGGAACAGGGATGGGAATGGGGATGGGGACGGGAATGGGGGTGGGGATGGGGATGGGAATGGGAATGGGAACAGGAAAGGGAAAATAGGAAAGGGAACAGGGATGGGAATGGGAACAGAAATGGGGATGGGAAAGGGGATGGGGACAGGGATGGGATGGGGATGGGGATGAGGGAATGGGGGAATGGGGATTGGAAAGGGGATGAAAAAGCGGGAATGGAGATGGGGATGGGGACAGGAATGGGAATAGGAATGGGGATGGAAAACTGGGAATGGGAATAGGCATTGGAATGCGGATGGGAACAGGAACAGGGATGGGGGACGGGAACGGGGACAGAAATGGGAACTGGGATGGGAACGGGAATGGAGATGGAAAACTGGGAATGGGGGTGGGATTGGGAATGGGAATAGGCATTGGAATGCGGATGGGAATGGGGACAGGGATGGGGATGGGGGGGCAGAGTTTGTGGTAGGGGGTGGGTCTGGGGGGGGTTTGGGGGGCAAGGGGCGCATTTTGGGGTCTGGGGGGATGGGACGGGATGGGATGGGATGGGATGGGATGGGATGGGATGGGATGGGATGGGATGGGATGGGATGGGATGGGATGGGATGGGATGGGATGGGATGGGATGGGACAGGATGGGATGGGATGGGATGGGATGGGATCCATGGGATGGGATGGGATGGGATGGGATGGGATGGGATGGGATGGGATGGGATGGGATGGGATGGGATGGGATGGGATGGGATGGGATGGGATGGGATGGGATGGGATGGGATGGGATGGGATGGGATCCATGGGATGGGATCCATGGGATGGGGATGGGATGGGATGGGATGGGATGGGATGGGATGGGATGGGATGGGATGGGATGGGATGGGATGGGATGGGATGGGATGGGACGGGACGGGACGGGATGGGATCCATGGGATGGGATGGGACGGGATGGGATGGGATGGGATGGGATGGGATGGGATGGGATGGGACGGGATCGATGGGGTGGGATGGGATGGGATGGGACGGGATCGATGGGATGGGATGGGATGGATGGGATGGGATGGGATGGAGGGGATGGGATGGGATGGGATGGGATGGGATGGGATGGGATGGGACGGGATGGGATGGGATGGGATGGGATGGGATGGGATGGGACGGGATCCATGGGATGGGATGGGATCCATGGGATGGGACGGGACGGGACGGGATCCATGAGGTGGAACGGGATGGATGAGGTGGGGGATGACCCCCCATGACCACACTGACCCCGTCCCACCCCGTCCCCCGTCCCAGACTGCGGGCAGGAGGAGCCGTCGCAGCAGGAGCTGCGGGCGCAGCTGGAGGACGCGCTGCGCGCGGCCGAGCGCTTCTCGCGCCGCTCCGATTCCCTGCTGCGGGAATTCCAGCAGGAGATGCTCAACACCTCGGGCCTGCTGGACCAGCTGAGCCGCCAGTTCGGCTGGGTGGCCCGGCTGGCCAACCGCTCCCTGGGTGACAACGACAACAGCGGCTTCCTGCAGGTCACCACGGTGCGCCCCAAAGTGGGACAGGGACACAAAGAGCCCTTTGTGCTCCCCTGGGAATCCCGCCGGGAATTCCTGGCTGGATCCGAGGCCGGGGGCCCATCCGGGGTTGTGCCACGGCCGCTCGGAGCGCGGCTGAGCTCCGGGGACACTTCCAGGTGCTGTCCAGGGCTCCGGACCCCGCGGATCCGGCGGCGGCGGCGCCCGACACGGAGGTGACGGTGCAGCTCTTCGGCTCGGAGCCGCTGGCGCTGACGGTGCCGGGACACATCCCGTGGGACGATCCCAAATTCATGGAGCTCGTGGCCGAGCAGGCGCTGCGGCGCTTCCGGGAGAACGCCGTGTGAGTGCCGAGATTCCCAAAAATCCCGTGGGGGCACGGGATGGTCCCGGATTTGGGATAACCCGGATTTGGGATGGTCCCGGATTTGGGATGATCCCGGATCTGGGATGATCCGGGATTTGGGATGATCCCAGATTTGGGATTTGGGATAATCCGGATTTGGGATGGTCCCGGATTTCAGATGATCCTGGATTTGGGACGATCCCCAATTTGGGATGACCCCGGATTTGGGATGACCCCAGATTTGGGATGACCCCGGATTTGGGATTTGGGATAATCTGGATTTGGGATGATCCCGGATTTGGGATGACCCCGGATTTGGGATGACCCCAGATTTGGGATGAACCCGGATTTGGGAGGATCCCGGATTTGGGATGACCCCGGATTTGGGATGACCCCGGATTTGGGATAATCCGGATTTGGGATGACCCCGGATTTGGGATGAACCGGATTTGGGATGAACCGGATTTGGGATGACCCCGGATTTGGGATGACCCCGGATTTGGGATGATTCTGGATTTGGGATGATCCCGGATTTGGGATGATCCCGGATTTGGGGTGACCCCGGATTTGGGATGAACCGGATTTGGGATGAGCCCGGATTTGGGATGAACCGGATTTGGGATGAACCGGATTTGGGATGACCCCGGATTTGGGATGATCCTGGATTTGGGATGATCCCGGATTTGGGATAATCCTGGATTTGGGATAATCCTGGATTTGGGGTGACCGTGGATTTGGGATGGTACCCGATTTGGGATGATCCCGGATTTGGGATGGTCCTGGATTTGGGATGACCCCAGATTTGGGATGGTCCCCGATTTGGGATGACCCTGGATTTGGGATGACCCCGGGTTTGGGATGATCCTGGATTTGGGATGATCCCGGATTGATCCTGGATTTGGGATGGTCCCGGATTTGGGATGACCACGGATTTGGGATGGTCCCGGATTTGGGATGATCCCGGATTTGGGATGATGCTGGATTTGGGATGGTCCCGGATTTGGGATGATCCCGGATTTGGGATGATCCTGGATTTGGGATCACCCCGGATTTGGGATGATCCTGGATTTGGGATGACCCCGGATTTGGGATGATCCCGGATTTGGGATGATCCTGGGTTTGGGAATACCCCGGATTTGGGAAGATCCCGGATCTGGGATGATCCCGGATTTGGGGTGACCCCGGATTTGGGGTGACCCCGGATTTGGGATGACCCTGGATTTGGGATGATCCCGGATTTGGGATGACCCCGGATTTGGGATGAACCAGATTTGGGATGATCCCGGATTTGGGATGATCCCGGATTTGGGATGATCCCGGATTTGGGACGATCCCGGATTTGGGATGACCCTAGATTTGGGATGATCCCGGATTTTTCCCCCATTCCCAGGGAGTAGCCGGGCGCTGCCGCCGCCGCCGCCGCCCCTCCGGATCCCCCTTCCCGGGGGGAATCATTCCCGTTCCCGTTCCCGTTTTCCTGCCAGCGCTGCCCTCCTGACCCTCCCTGCTGCCAACATGGAAATAAAAGGATAAAAGGTAGAGCTCAACCCCCCCGGCTCTGCCGCCGCAGTTTCTGGGATAATTCCAGGGAAAAGTGGGAAAAACGGACTGGAACCCGTCACCGCGGGATTGTGGGGTTGAGGAGTTGGGATCTGTTCCCAAATCCGATCCAGCAGGAGCCCCCCGGGATTGGGGAGCTGGGGAGCTGTTCCCATCCCACGGACACGGATCCGCTGCCGGGGCCTGTCCCGGTCCTCTCCCATCCCGGAATTCCCGGATTTCTGTAGGATTTCCGCCCCCCGAGATCCCCGTGGGAGGGGCAGAGGGGTTTTATTGGGAATGGAAATTTGGGAATTCTGGATCCAGTCCCAAATCCAGCCCCAATCCCAAATCCAGCCCCAATCCCAAATCCAGCCCCAATCCCAAATCCAGCCCCAATCCCAAATCCAGCCCCAGTCCCAAATCCAGCCCCAATCCCAGCCCCAATCCCAAATCCAGCCCCAATCCCATCCCAGTCCCCCGGGAATGGGGAGAACTGGGATGGGGAGAGGGAAACTGGGATGGGAGAGGGAAACTGGGATGGGAGAGGGAAACTGGGATGGGAGAGGGAAACTGGAATTGGGAATGGAGCTGGGATCGGGAATGGGGCTGGGATCAGGAATGGGGGTATTTTAGGGGGATTTTGCAGGGATTTGGGGGGAATTTGGGGTATTTTGGGGGGATTTAGGAAGATTTTGGGGGGATTTTGAGTGGATTTGGGGGGATTTTGGGGATTTGGGGGGGATTTTTAGGAGGATTTCAGGAGGATTTTGTGGATTATGGGGGGATTTTGGGGGGATTTTAGAGGGATTTCGGAGGGATTTTGGGGAGATTTTTGGGGGATTTTGGGTGGATTTTGCGAGGCTTTTGGGGAGATTTTGGGGGAATTATGGGGATTTTAGGGTGGATTTTAGGGGGATTTGGGGGAGATTTTGGGGAGATTTTAGGGTGGATTTTAGGGGGATTTTGGGGGGATTTTAGGGGGATTTTGGGTGGATTTTAGGGGGAATTTTGGGGGGATTTGGGTGGATTTTGGGTGGATTTTAGGGGTATTTTGGGGGGATTTTGGGGGGATTTTAGGGTGGCTTTTGGGGGGATTTTAGGGTGGATTTTGGGGAGATTTTAGGGTGGATTTTTGGGTGGATTTTGGGTGGATTTTGGGTGGATTTTGGGGGACGCACTCGGCCGCCGGGTGTGGATGGGGCCGGTCACGAGCGCGGCCACGCCCCGCTGGGGGCGGGACACGCCCCGGACACGCCCACACAAGGGCCACGCCCACACCAAGGACACGCCCACACCAATGACACGCCCCGTCAATCAAATTGGGCCACGCCCCCAACGGCCACGCTCCTTTAATGCAAACCACGCCCCTGAACGTGTTGGCCACGCCCACAGAGCAGAACGGGGTTGTGGGACCACGCCCCTTAATTTGCATAGCCACGCCCCCAGCGCCCGGTGCTGCTGGTCCGGGGAATTCTGTCCCAGGATTTTGTCCTGGGAATTCTGTTCTGGGAATTCTGTCTCGGGAATTCCTGTCGTGGGAATTCTGTTCTGGAAATTCTGTCCTGGGAATTCTGTCCCGGGAATTCTGTCCCGGGGATTTTGTCCTGGGAATTCTGTTCTGGGAATTCTGTCTCGGGAATTCTGTCCTGGGATTTCTGTCCCAGGATTCCTGTCCCGGGATTTCTGTGCTGGAATTCTGTCCTGGGAATTCCTATCCCAGCAATTCTGTCCTGGGGATTCTGCCTTGGGATTTCTGTCCCGGGATTCTGTGTCCAGAATTCTGTCCCGGGGAATTTGTGCCCGGGATTTTGTCCCGGGAATTCTGTCCCGGGAATTTTGTCCTGGGAATTCTGTCCCGGGAATTCCCATCCCGGTGATTCCTGTCCCGTGTCCCCGCGCTCCCGGCAGGCGGCGCTGTCGGAGCGGGCCGGGATCGCCGGGAGCCGTCCCGGGATAAACCCGGGATAAACCTGCCCGGGATAAACCCGCCCAGGATAAACCCGGGATAAACTCGGGATAAACCTGCCCAGGATAAACCTGGCTGGAATAAACCCGGGATAAACCCGGCTGGGATAAACCTGGTTCAGATAAACCTGGCTGGGATAAACCCGGCTGGGATAAACCTGGCTGGGATAAACCCGGGATAAACCTGCCCGGGATAAACCTGCCCGGGATAAACCCGGGATAAACCTGCCCGGGATAAACCTGCCCGGGATAAACCCGGCTGGGATAAAACCGGGAAAACCCCAGGATAAACCTACCTGGGGTAGACCTGGCCGGGATAAACCTATCTGAGACAAACCCGGGATAAACCTGGCCAGGATAAACCCGGGATAAACCTGCCCGGGATAAACCTGCCCGGGATAAACCTGCCCGGGATAAACCTGCCCGGGATAAACCTGCCCGGGATAAACCTGCCCAGGATAAACCGGGCTGGGATAAACCCGGGATAAACCTGCCCGGGATAAACCCGGCTGGGATAAACCTGGGATAAACCTGGTTCGGATAAACCTGCCCGGGATAAACCTGCCCGGGATAAACCCGGCTGGGATAAACCTGGGATAAACCTGCCTGGGATAAACCTGCCTGGGATAAACCCGGGATAACCCCGGGATAAACCTGCCCAGGATAAACCTGGCTGGGATAACCCCGGGATAAACCTGCCCAGGATAAACCTGGCTGGGATAAACCCGGGATAAACCTGCCTGGGATAAACCCGGGATAAAGCTGCCTGGGATAAACCCGGCTGGGATAAACCTGCCCAGGATAAACCTGGCTGGGATAAACCCGGGATAAACCTGGTTCGGATAAACCTGCCCAGGATAAACCTGGGATAAACCTGCCCGGGATAAACCCGGCTGGGATAAACCTGCCTGGGATAAACCTGGCAGGGATAAACCTGCCCGGGATAAACCTGCCCAGGATAAACCTGCCCGGGATAAACCCGGCTGGGATAAACCCGGGATAAACCCGGGATAAAACTGCCTGGGGTAAACCTGGCTGGGATAAACCCGGGATAAACCTGCCTGGGATAAACCTGCCTGGGATAAACCCGGCTGGGATAAACCCGGAATAAACCTACCCGGGATAAACCTGGCCAGGATAAACCCAGGATAACCCTACCTGGGATAAACCTGCCCAGGATAAACCTGGGATAAACCCAGCTGGGATAAACCCGGGATAAACCTGGCTCGGATAAACCCGGCTGGGATAAACCTGCCCGGGATAAACCCGGCTCGGATAAACCTGCCCGGGATAAACCTGCCCGGGATAAACCTGGGATAAACCTGGCTGGGATAAACCCGGGATAAACCTGGCTGGGATAAACCCGGCTGGGATAAACCTGCCCGGGATAAACCTGCCCAGGATAAACCTGCCCGGGATAAACCCGGCTGGGATAAACCCGGGATAAACCTGCCCGGGATAAACCTGGCTGGGATAAACCTGGGATAAACCTGGGATATACCCGGCTGGGATAAACCTGGCTGGGATAAACCCGGCTGGGATAAACCCGGGATAAACCTGGTTCGGATAAACCTGCCCAGGATAAACCTGCCCTTTCCCAGCCCTTTTTCTCCTTTCCTTCCTTTTCCTGCCTCTTTCCTGCCCCTTTTCCTTCCCATTTCCATCCCTTTTCCTTCCTTTTCCCGCCCCTTTTCCCGTCTCTTTTCCATCCCATTTCCATCCCATTTCCTTCCCATTTCCATCCTTTTTCTGCCCCTTTTCCAGCCCTTTTCCCATCCCTCCCTGGGTCCTTTTCCAGCCCTTTTCCATCCTTTTCCCATCCATTTTCTTTCCCTTTTCCTTCCCATTTCCATCCCTTTTCCGCCCATTTTCCGCCCCTTTTCTGCCCCTTTTTCCATCCCTTTCCCATTTGTTTTCCTTCCCATTTCCATCCTTTTCCCATCCCTTTTCCCACCCCTTTTCCATCCCTCCCTGGATCCATTTTTCTTCCCTTTCCCATTGGAAATTCCCAATCCAAGGGTTTGATCCGGATGGGATCGGGATGGGATTAACCCTTCCCGTGCTGGGGTTGGAAATTCCCAATCCAAGGGTTTGATCGGGACGGGATCGGGATGGGATCGGGATGGGATTAACCCTTCCCGTGCCTGGTGGGTGTTGGGCAGAATGGGGAGGGGGAAAAATGATCTGGGGAAAGTGATTTTTATTATTATTCATATTATATAATAATAGAAAATATTAATAAAATAAAAATAAAAATAAAAATAATTTAAAATAAAATAAAAACTAAAAATAATTAAAAATAAAAATAATAAAAATAAAAATAAAAATAAAAATAAAAACATAAAAATAAACATAAACATAAACATAAAAAACAAAATAAAAATGATAATAACAATAATGATAATAATAATAAAAAGGGGACAGAAATGTGACCCTGGGGACAGAAATGTGACATTGGGGGGGACAGAAATGTGACATTGGGGACAGAAATGTGACATTGGGGGGACAGAAATGTGACATTGGGGGGGACAGAACTGTGACATTGGGGACAGAAATGTGACACTGGGGGGGACAGAACTGTGACACTGGGGACAGAAATGTGACACTGGGGACAGAAATGTGACATTGGGGACAGAAATGTGACACTGGGGACAGAAATGTGACATTGGGGACAGAAATGTGACACTGTGGGGACAGAAATGTGACACTGGGGACAGAAATGTGACATTGGGGGGGACAGAAATGTGACATTGGGGACAGAAATGTGACATTGGGGGGACAGAAATGTGACATTGGGGGGACAGAAATGTGACATTGGGGGGACAGAAATGTGACATTGGGGGGACAGAAATGTGACATTGGGGACAGAAATGTGACACTGGGGACAGAAATGTGACATTGGGGGGACAGAAATGTGACACTGGGGACAGAAATGTGACATTGGGGGGGACAGAAATGTGACATTGGGGGGACAGAAATGTGACATTGGGGGGACAGAAATGTGACACTGGGGACAGAAATGTGACACTGGGGACAGAAA